CATTTGTGTCATTACAATCAACTTTCCTTTGAGGAGGTTCTTCCTTCTCCAGTTGTACTGTGAGTGCCTTCCAACATGGAGGCTCTTCTTCCAGCACTATATCTGACAATGTTCTGGTGTTCTTCACCATGATCCAATACTCAATATTCAAGCGCTGACGGTGTTCCAGGAAACATTCAGAAGCAGTCTGCCTCTCCTCCTTTCTGGTCTTGGTCTGGAAGCTCAGCTGAAACCTCTCCACCATGGGTGTTTAAAATACTGGTATTTAAAATACCAGTGGCATTGCTTCCAGCATCACAGCAACACACAAGCCACAATAGTACAACAAACTGACAGATGAGTGATGGAGTTGCTTAACTAGAGAATTCATATTGTTTAACTAGACAATTCATATTGTTTACCCATGGATGTTCTTCTTCTTATTACTACTGTTATAGTATAACTAATGCCCCATATTTGAAATATTATAGTATAACTAACAGCCCCATTCGCCATTTGAAATATTATAGCATAGTTCACCCTGCTCCCCTTTCCCCCCACCTCACTCTATGGAAAAATAATAAATAAACTTCTTACAGAAAAACCTTGAAGGCCAGAATGACCCAAGGACACCTGAACAAACAGGATAAAACTTAGCCCATCCATACAACCAAGATAAGGGTTTATTGGTGGGTTTACTCCCACTTACAGGATAAGGGTCTGCGGGAATTTACCGCCCCAGCTGACAAGACAAGTCTGTGTGTTCTAACCACTCTGTGTTTTTGTATAAAACCCTGTTCTCCTCCTCACTTCGGGGTCAGAGTGATTCAGGCTTGAGCTGACACTGTGGCCGCAGCAATAAACTTTGCTCTCTAAGATTTCTGAGTTGAGTTCTTTCTGACTCACGCTGCCACAACATTACTATTATTACTACTATTCAGATGTCTAGAAACTTCATAGTATTGATATTTCTTAATATACCAAGACAATATGGTATTATATCTCAAGATTAATATATGTTGTATCTGAGGCTTTTTAAAAACAAGATGAATCATTATATTTAGAGAGATTTGTGTCTAAAGATTTTGAACTGAGTTTATTTGGCTTTGTACTACTTTTAAGATTAATCTCTATTAAGTTTTTTATTTTTAAAAGGTATTATTATTGTAATTCTTGATGCAGCACTGCTAGCTACATGATCAGTGGCTCAAACCCACTAACTACTCCTTGGAAACCCTATACAGGGTTGCTATGATTCAGAACCAACTCAACAGCACTTAACAACCATTACTGTAAGCTCAATGTAAAGAAAACAAAAATCCTCACCACTGAACCAATAAACAACATTCTTATCAATGGAGAAAAGATTGAAGTTGTTAAGGACTTCATTCTTCTTGGATCAACTATCAACACTCATGGAAGCAGCAGTCAAGAAATCAAATGACATATTACATTAGGCAAATCTGCTGCACAAGACCTTTTTAGTGTTGAAGAGCAAAGATGTCAGCTTGAGGACTAAGGTGCACCTGACCCAAGCCATGGTATTTTCAGTAACCTCATATGCATGCGAAAGTTGGACAATGAATAAGGAAGACACTAGAAGAATTGATGCTTTTGAGTTATGGTGTTGGAGAATATTGAAAGTGCCATGGGCTGCCAAAAGAACCAACAGATATGTGTTGGAAGAAGTGCAGCCAGAGTGCTCCTTGGAGGCCAAGATAGCCAAACTTCATCTCTTATACTTCATACATATTGTCAGGAGGGACCAGTTGCTGGAGAAGGATATCATGTTTGGTAAGGTGGAGGTTCAGAGAAAAAGAGGAAGACCCCCAGCACGATGGATTGGCACAGTGGCAGCATCAATGGGCTCAAGTGTGGCAACAATGGTGAGGTTGGCCCAGGACAGGGCAGTGTTTAGTTCTATTGTACATAAGGTCACTATGAGTTGGTACTGACTTGATGTCACTTAACAACAACAACAACAACTGTAATCTAGCTGATAAGCTTTTGTTTTGCTGACTTCCTAAAAGGGTTGACCAAAATAACCATCCTTGGAGAAGGACATCATGCTTGGACAAGTGGAAGGTCTGTGAAAAGGAGGAAGACCACAAGACAGACTGACACGGTGACAGTAACAATGGGTTGAAACAACAATTGTGACGATGGTGCAAGACTAGGTAATGTTTCATGGATGAACATAGCGTTGCTATGAGTCAGAACCGATTCTATGGCACCTAACAAGGAGCTGAAATTGCCTTATAGCCACCCTGCATAGGGCTTCCAAGGCTATAATCTTTACAGGTGCAGAAAGTCTCATCTTTCTCCTGTGGAACCACTGGTAGCTTCGTACAGCTGACTTTGAGGTTAGCGGCCAGACTGGTAACCACTATGCTACCAGAATCAAATATTCATTTTAAAGAAACCTTAAACAAAATGAATCCTTTCACCCAAACTTGCAAATCCTTTCTTTCCTGTTAAAGCCAGGATTATAAAATTTTAACCTCAAAAATTGTGGCTGGCCCCTTCCAAGACTAAGACTCAATGGGAATACACCTCTGATTGGTGACCAAGGAGAAAAACAGCAATGAAGCTGCAAGCTAAGCCCTACAATGTTCAATAGACTTCTGTGAACCCAGGTGGCAAGACCTGGGGACTCTTGGGCCCAGAGTCAGTGACATAGCCACAGAGGACTAGAGTGGAGAGTGAAGCATACAGCTGATAAGAGAGGGCATATGCACAAGAACACCCACACTTGCAGATAACACCCACTTGACCTGGCTTCAATGACTGGATGATCAGAGCTCAACTAAAAGAAGAAAGAAGAGGGAAAAAAAGAGTAATTTGATACTATTTGGTGAACTTGACCTACACCTGTGGATGCAGTAGCCCAAAAGAGGGGACAAATCCTTACACCAAGGATCATTCCCACCCCCTCCATACAGAGTAGACAGGGATGGGCAACTTGGACATTGGCTACCCAAAATGGGGGAGGGGGGGCTATGAAGGCAAGAAGTGACTGGTTTACAAGCTTTCAAGAGGGAACCTAGACACAGAGGGCGTAAAGGAAGGTAGACTCTCCACTGAGTAGCATACAATCTGTCTAGGCGGGGCTGATTAAATGAAATGTGGATGGGTCTCTTGTGATACAGTAGTGAATAATTGTTATCAGGACTGCTTGTGAAAGTTAGAAATGTAAAGATAAACGTTTTGTAGCAAGGAGAGGAGTGATTAACTTTTCAGCCTAGGAGCAGAGGTCCCTGGGACCATGAAGGGAGAAGAGTGGAGAGCCAGACCCTACCCAGAGAAGCAGTGATGCTTGAGATGGAGGCAGAGACAATGATGTGAAGAGATGGAGCAGCTGGGGACTTTAGATCCAGAGAGGGAGAGGGGTTGTGTGTTGACGACTGGCTGGCAGGCTTATAGTGTATACCCTTTGGTTGGTTGATGATGCATGCAGAGGATTGTAACCATGGCAATGAAACGATATACGATAGGATGAATGTAAAACTAATGTTCTCCCATGTAAACTATCACATAATTCACAATAAAACATTAAAAAAAAAACCATTGTGGCTGTGTGGAGGATGATTCAGTGATCTCAGTAAAAGGGGGTTCATGTTAAGATTAGTCAATGGTTGATCTGCTATATTTCTTCCTTTTCTTTATAAGTTGTACCTGTTGCTGTTAAGTGCCATCGAGTCGGTTACTATTCATGTTTTTATTGTTAAGTGCCGTGGAGTCGGTTCCAACCCATAGCGACCCTGTATGGGATTTCCAAGGAGCAGCTGGTGAGCTTGAACCACCGACCTTGCAGTACAGCGCATTAACCCGCACCGCCACACCAGGGCTCCCCAAAATTATACCTAGACATTTGCTTTTTTTTTTTTTGCAGTTAGTAAACATTTCCAATTTTTATTCATAATATTGGTAATCAAAGTTGCAAAGGAAGATTTACAGAGCCACAGAACAAGATGGAAATGAAACATTCCAAAATCATCTGGAAGAGTTTCCAAAGAGCACACACTAGGCTAGAAATCTAGGGTTAAACTGTAGTTGGTTCCATGACAGGATATTTTCATTCTTGCATTTTTTTCAATAAATTCTTCTTTGTATTTGCCTTTCTCTTTTCCAACTTGTCGAGATTTGGCTTTGTGTTCAGGAATTTTTTCCCGATCTTTGTCCAATTTGAGCTTGGTATCAAGCACCTTGCTCAGGTGAATGCCCACATGGAGAGTTGTCCCATTAGCCTTCTCACGCTGCACCCTCTTGATGTAGATGACATACTTCTCTATACACCTGGACTACACGGTGCCAATATGCTGACCTCTATAGTGTCCTCGGACCACCTAGACCTCGTCGTCCTTGCAGATGGGCATGGAGCGCACGTTATACTTCTGCCGCAGCTCCTTGGAAAGCGGCAACGACATGCTCTTCCTGCGCACGTGCGAGGGAGCATTGAAGTGGTGTTTGCGGTTCTTGCTGCGGTCGGAGGTCACGAAGGGGCTGAACTTCATGGTGACAGTTGGGAGTCCGGCAGCCTCAGAAGCTACGCGCACAAGGCGCCATTTGCTTTTTCTGGTATCAAAATAATCTTCATATTTGCATCTAGAATAACCGCTCATTATAAATCTTAATGTTCAAGTTTCCTTGTTTGACGATTACTTCCTTATTTGGTTATTTTTAACGTCATTAAACGAAATCACCAGGACCTCCTTAAACCTGCTCCCTCATTGAAAACTGGAGATAAGCAGAAATCAAAAGCAAGACCTGTACGTTCCAGCCCCTGAAATGGGTCCCAGATTTGACTAAGGTTGGCCTTCAAAGCAGCGGTCCACGGTGCGACCTTCCGGTTTCCTGTGCGCTGGAGGACAGGTCCCACGACCTAACTGGACAGCTCGTAACGGGGCGGGGCCTCTGGAGGCGAGGCTTCCGTCGGCTCAACCTCTGTTGCCAGGGGAGACAGCCGCTGGGAGACGGAGAGAGCCGAGCACCAGTCGGCGCGGAAGCGGAGCGTGGAAACTATGGCGACCCTGGCGGCTTTGGGGCCTAGTCGGAGCTGGTGTCTGTGCCCCGAGGTGCCATCGGCCACCTTCTTCACCGCGCTTCTCTCCCTGATCGTGTCCGGTCCCCGCCTGTTCCTGCTGCAGCCGCCCCTGGCGCTCTCGGGCCTCACGCTGCGGTCGGAGGCTCTGCGCAACTGGCAAGGTGAGCAGGGAGAGCTGGGATCCTTGTGCGACCCTCTTTCCTCGCTTTCATCCATTCCGGCTCCAATCTCCCAGAACTCGCCCCATCAGTCCCGACCATTAGCCTACCCCCGCCTCCGTCCCGTGTCACCATCCAACTCACCAGAGGACCAGCCCCCAACCCTACCTCCTGCTCTCTCATATTCCACGTCTTTGTCTCCCCGGAGCCCATCCTTGTCACCATGAAGTGGCTTACAACCTGAACTTGCCTCCTTCTCTGGCTCCATCAAACTCAACTTTATCCACTAGCCGACCCGTTTCATTCATTCGAGAATAAGCATTTTTCTTCTCTTCCTCCTTTTCCACATACGCATGTTTAGGCCTTAGGCCTAAACCCCATTCAGAATGTTTTGTTTTATTCCCTTCATTTGCTTGCCTGTTGTTACCCCCACTAAGCATTTCTTCTGATGTTTCTTTGTATCTAATTCTAGCTCCAATCCTAGGTCGTGAAAGAGGAATCTCTACTGCGTTTGGAGAGGTGTGTGTTTTCTCTAAGGAGGAGGGATTTTGTAGGCCAATTTAAGCATAGACATTCACTTATAAAAGACATTTATTTCCTCGTCACTCAATTCACAATAAAAACTTGGAAAAAAATAAAAAAGATTTCCTCATCTCTGTTCCTTCCTGTATTTGGGAGGTGGGGAGGGTAGGAAAATGGGAAACTTCTATAGCTCTTGCAGCTTCAGAAAATGTATGGGAAATGGAATGAAAAGATAATGGAATTGTTACATGGACTTTTTGAAGCTCTCTCGTATTAATGTTAAATCTCACAACAATCCCATGCTATAGGCCTTTATTATTGCCCATTATTTCCATGAGGAGACTGTGGCTTAATGCTGAGAATCAAAGATCTATAAGTCATGCAGCTGAGATTTTTCTTTTATTGAGTGATGTTGGGGGACTGAAGTCTTGGAGTATATAATCCATAAATCGTGTTGAATTGCTTCCAAAACAGAATATTTTGACATTGTTGTTTGGAATTTCAAGAAGTGCTGGAGGTACTATAGGATAAGCGCTGGGCAGTTCAAGCTCACCAGCCAGCCATTCCTAGGAAGAAATATGAGGCTGTCTGCGTCACTAAAGATTTCTGGTCTTGGAAACCCTGTACAGGGTCACAATGAGTTGGAAATCGACTCAATGGCAGCGGAGTAAATTTGGAGTTTCCGTTTTAGAAGTACGCTACAAGTAATAACATACTCTTCAGGTAATGAAGTCTTGTTGAGGTGACTGGGCTGAGGTAGATGGTGGGCAGCCTGCCTCTCTGCTCAGCTTTAAAACTAAGGACGCTTTCCCCTTTATTTCATAGCCTCCCTTAGTGTGGGGTTTGTGGGCATGGACTAGATAATATAAGGGACTTCTGAAGGCTTCAAGTCTAATCCTGTTAATTACAATGAGGAAATGGAAACTGAGAGGCCAGCCAAAATATGATAGAGCCAAGACTCCCCTCCAAGTCTTAGATTCCCAAGTCCAACATTCTTCTCTTCGTCCACCAGTCTTCCTCCTTCACATTAGTGTTTTGGCCTGCAGGGACATAAAAGTACATAAGCAGTCACAACTTTTAGAGCAAGAAAAGTAGGATTCTTAGCTGTCCTACTGCACATGAAGTATTGCTCCACCTGTATGATTGGATAAGCACTTTTCAAGGAAGACTTGTGATTTCTATATATTATTAATGATAGTTTTGTAATCCTCGGAGCTGCACAATAATTCACGGTCCCTTTTTTCTTCCTCTTGAACAGCCACTATGGAAGGAGAGGTCAGGATTACAGCAAGGAGGCGGGCACACAGAGTGTTAAGTGACTCACCCACTCAGTCCACCTTGAAGCTGTTACAATTAATTAACCCTCAAAGTGCCCCGTGAGGTAGGTCAGTATTCACACCTACAAAGGATTATCTCTTTCCCACACTGAAGTCAGTCATTGATAAAACCTTGCTTCAGGTAGTTAATGTTACAGTCCAGGAACAGAGGACCCTAGAACCATCAAGGGAGAAGAGCACGAGTGGAATGTGGGGTCCTTTTCAGAGAAGAAGCCACACAAGAGATGGAGGCAGAGTTGATGACATGGAGAGATCGAGCAGCTGAGGACTCTAGACTCATGGAAAGAGAGTGACTGAGTGCTGGCGGCCAAGAGGCAGACTTGCAGAATGTGCCCTTTGGTTGTTTAAATGATTATCTATTCCTGCGTGTTTTTGTGTACACCCCTCCCTCCAAAAAAATAACAGAGGGAATAGAAACAGATACTGTTGAATGATGATGCACTGAGGAGACTATAATCATTAACAAGAGACTATAATCATTGCAATGAAACAATGAGTGTAAAACCGATGTTCTCCCATGTAATTGCTCACTCAGTGCTTTGAGTCTTGGGTCCTTATTACCTCCTGCTGCTTTTCCTGGCCCCTAGACTGATTTTCAGTGGCTTTTTGTGCTTCTCCACATGGGTTCCTTCCCCTTCCTAGATGGGTTATAACCTGGCTTTTCCTCCTTGGAGCAATCCACGCTTAGACCTCTAACTCAGTTCCCTCTTCAGTCTACAGGCTGGTGACCTACATCTTTGTCTACGAGAACCCAGTCTCCCTGCTCTGCGGTGCCATCATCATCTGGCGCTTTGCTGGCAATTTTGAGAGGAGCGTGGGCACCGTCCGCCACTGCTTCTTCACCTTGGTCTTCACCGTCATCTCCGCTATCATCTACCTGTCATTTGAGGCTGTGTCGTCACTGACGAAGCTGGGGGAGGTGGAGGATGCCAGAGGTTTCACCCCGGTGGCTTTTGCCATGTTGGGAGTCAGCGCTGTCCGTTCGCGGATGCGACGAGCCCTGGTGTTTGGGGTGGTTGTGCCTTCGGTGTTGGTCCCATGGCTTCTACTGGGCGCCTCTTGGCTCATTCCCCAGACCTCTTTCCTCAGTAATGTCTGCGGACTTGTAATTGGACTAACATGTATCCTCTCTAGAACAGAATGATAACCTGAAGCCATGTCATAGGAACCCCAACTTGAAGGGTCTAGGGTATCAAACCCTGGGCTTAGATGTACGCAATCTGGGTTCTAGTTTCAGCTTGAAAAACCCTGTGGCCTGAGCAGTTCACCTCTTCTCTCTGAACCTGAATTTTCTCCATACTGACTTAGCACTGCCAAATGAGTGAAATATTCTGATTTTTACTTTGTAAATTATAGTATGAAAAATACACATATAAGGGAGCTGGAGTAGCTATATTAATTGTGGTTAAGTGCCATCCCGTAAGTTCCGACTCATAGTGACCCTATATAAGATTTCTGAGGAGCAGTTTGTGGGTTTGAACCACCAACCTGTGGTTCACAGTCTAGTGCTGACCCTACAGTGCCATACTGGGAGTCCAACTATATTAATAGCTTATCGTAATTACTTTGAAATAATTATGACAAGAGTTGTCGTTGGAAGAGTCGGCAATACCTTAACTAGCGAGTAAGGTTGTTCTATGCAAGGAAGGAGCTCTAGTAGCTTAGTGGTTACGAATTGGGCTGTGAACCTTAAGGTCAGCAGTTCGAAACTACTAGCTGCTTCGCAGAAGAAAGATGAGGCTTTCTGAACCTGTAAAGATTTATGGCTTCAGAAACACTGTACGGGTCGCTATGAGTCGGTTCTGACTCCACGGCACATAACCACCACCACCAGGGTAAATAAACTTGTAAAAAAAAAAAAAAGTAGATTATTTTTTAGAACTTCAGAATTAGTAATATTGGGAGTTTAAAAGGTACAGTTCTAAAAATCTCTTCTAACTTGTGATTCTGTAAATTAGGGTAGTGGTGGTGGTGGTGTGCCGTGGAGTCGGTTCTGACTCATAGTGACCCTCTATTGGGTTTCCAAGACTATCCATCTTTACGGGAGCAGAAAGCCTTGTCTTTCTACTGTGGAATGGCTGGTAGTTTCGAACTGCTGGCCTTGAGCTTAACAACCTGACTCATAACCACTACGCTAACAGAGCTCCTTGTAAGTTAGAGTAGATGATATATAAACAGAGGTGGTAGCATAGCTTTGCTCTTCATTGCATTACTTTGGTGTTGCAGTTTGACTTTCTAATATAAATATTTATATATTATTCTATTAAACATATTATGAATAATGTAAACAAATCTGTTTTGAAAGAAGCATGGCCAGATTGCTTCTTAGAAGAGAAGATGGTAAGACTGTCT